CCCTAAGAGTTAAGGCTGGCCGAAATTCTCAAGAGAGAAAGGAAGGAAAAAAATTTTCTCCAAAAATTCCACATCGTGCATGTGATGGTGTTTGTGGAAATTCGAGTGTTTATTGTAACCCGTTTTGTCTCATGTGTGTCCACACACACGTCTTCGTGGATTCTAGGAATTGATGTGGAAAACATTGGTTTTCTAAACACAAAGATTGGAGCAAGGACTATTCGTGGACAAAGAACTCAAGTTATCATCCGAGTCGGCTTCTAGGTATTTTTCTTGATTGAGTTCTTGATATATATAAGTTAATGAGATTAATTTATTCGTGCATAAATTAATATAATCTATAGAGTATCTCAAAAGTTTTATGAAAATTTTTGTTATACACGATCCGCCTCTTCCCTGCACCACCACGCTTCCGCATCCGGATTCGATCCGGAGACCAACAATTTCCATTTATTCTCTTGAAATTTACACTCATTCTCCGTTTGCTTATCGAATTTTGAATTTTGAATAATCTCACATATATAACCCTCTTAGTGTACTAGACTATTCATTGAAAATAAACGAAATATGCCCATTCAAAGACTGAAAACATAATTAATTTCACGGTAATGTTACCATAAAAGCATATACTTATCAATATTTAACAAATATGAAATTCAAATATTAACAAATAAAAAAATGAATGATTCATATACCTAAGTTTTGAGGTCAGGTTCAAAATTCTTCTATTTTATTTAGGGGATAAAATCTCAAAAATTCTCATGAAAGCTTCTCCATTGGTACTTTTTTCTTTTCAAATGAAAATTCTAGAGGGAGTTAAGTGATACTAATTCATATATTATATTGGAGAAATAATGTACGTAAACTACAAGCATTAATTTTTGGAGGAAGCCAAATCAAATTTAAGAGTAGTCGTATATATTTTGCTAGGATTAGGAGACGGTCCTAGGATAATACGTAGATGTGATGAACCGGGTCTTACATAATTGACCAAATGAATTTGATTCTGTTGTCAATTCTTGGCAAATAGTCCACAATGTGCTAAGCAATGTCTAAGGTTTTGTTCATTTCACGGATTCGAGTTTTCAGTTCTAGATTTCTACAGTTAAAAGCTCTTAAAATGTCACATCTCAACTCGAATTCACGAAACAAACACGGCCTAAACGATTAATCTCTTCACTATACATTAATTCCAATATTAATCTTAATTTCACGTTGTTATCATTGCGTATAAACTTTTTTTTTTTTTTTAGGGAAAGTTGCCCATAAACTCTTTACAATCGTGAGCTCGTTTAGTTCGCTGATTCGAGTTTTTAATTCGAGTTGAAATGTGACTTTATATGAGAGCTTTTTACTGTATTAAAAAAGTTAGATATGACTATTTCTGAGAGTTTTTTACTGTAGCAAAACTCAAATTTTAAATTCGAATCGGTGAAATGAACGGGCACTACGTTATTTTCTTCGTTATATTTCACAAACTCTAGAGCTGGACCTTTTGGGCCTAGCTAGATAGGTTTCAAACTCGGCGTGCACCTTAGTCAATATATATTTTTCAGAAACCATATCATGTATATACTACTAATTGGAACAGACATGACGATCTTATATATTATGTGAAGGCCGTCCAGCATAAGGCAGCAGGTCTCTTTCTGAAATCAAGCGTACGTGTATATATCTTCCATCATTTTCAGTTTTTTTTTTTTTTTTTTTTTTTTTTTTTTTTTTTTTTTTTTCAATACTATAGTACAGTTCACACATTTCACCAAAACACGTATAGGAAACTTCCGATTGATCAGAAACCGCTTTCAACTTTTTATAGCCATAAATTACGAGTTCAATTCAAACTTTCAAAGCACCAAAAAGATGACAGGCTCTTCATTTTCAGATTCTCACCCCAATATATATTTGTCTTCAGACGTTTGGAATATGCAAACAGGTCCCCACACTCAATGGCAGCCCACTTAGTTCTAAAGCTATTATATTTACTTTGCCATGTATTTATATATATATATATATATATATATATATATTCTCTCATTTTTATCCCTTTTCCAGTGATAAACATAGCTGTGGTACCTCCCCCAACTAGGCGTGCAATGAGAATGGCCAAACCAGTCTGCTTCAGTACTTTTCGTGTGTCTTACCTTAAAGCTCCAAAGCTCAGTTTTTTCCATCAGCTTTATCTTGTAATATTATTCCACCAAGCCAGTGGTCTTGTGGTCCAAACATATACATACATACATACATACATACATATATATATATATATATATATAAGCGGAGACAAATTTCAACCAGAAAATTTCCATTATGTATAAATATATGTATGCTTCATAGGCATATACAATGTGTACCCTGCGTATGTATACACACATATCTGTACCTAACGCACCTGTGAATGATGTATATTGGCACATAATTAAAATGGAACCACAGTGACAGTATATAGGATTCAAGTGTTTCAAAAGCTGGCCTAATTTTGATACTGTTGTAAACTCATGTGACTAATATTGGTGGCTCATATATATCTTGTATATATACAACAGTACAAGATACAAGTACTTCTCAAAATGCCTCCATCAATAGGTTGCTTCAAAGTTTAGAACATATAGATAGGTCTAGTTCGCTTTGTAGATTTGAGTTTTTAATTCAAATTTAAATGTGACATTTTTTAAAAACTTTAAACTGTAGTAGATAAAGTTAGATGTGATATTTTTTAAAAAATTTTAATTGTAGAAACTTAAAACTGAAAATTCGAATCGGTGAAATGAACAAGGCCGCGTAGGGATGTTTGTTTCATGTATTCATCATTGATTCTGAATCATAATTCATGATTTTTTACAGTATTTTTTTCTTAAAAAAACACACATAAAATGATAATTATTTTGAATCATAACTTTAAATTTATGACACAAATGTCCACTAAAATACCCGAAATCATTGCAGCGCAACTATGCTCTACATAAATCCAACACTTTCTCTAATTATTTGCTTGTCTATATACGTCAAAAAAATTTATCTGAGTAAAAAACATCATTGGAGGGTGCAAGTGGCTTCCTGTACTTTTTCCAAGTGGCACGGTGAGTACCGTCCTAGTCCAATTATACAGTATTTTCTACCCAAAAAAAAAAAAAACTGTACATTCGAAATGAAAGAAATATTTTTTTTTTTCTCCACAAGTTTGAACCTTTGGCGGTTTAAAAGTCAATCTATGTTCGAGTGGATATGCAGGTCTTGCACCATTGGTGGTCACAGACGCTCTTACTTGTGCCCACATATGGAATATGTCGTTTATCTATATATGCTCAGATGCTTTGTCTTTCACTATTACCTCTAGAACGTGACATAAAGATTAACTTGGAAAAGAAAAATGCATAGGCTTTTCGAGTTAGAAATGAAAAAGGTTTCAAGTTGTATGATGATAATGGTGTGTGTGTGTGTATGTGGTTTTTTTTTTTCCTCTGACTTTTCTAAAGGGTTGTTGCTAATTTTCATATTTTGTTTGGTTTCCTTCATGGTTGAACTCTAAACCTCTTTATTTTGTTTTTATACTACTTATCTTTTATTATATTACACTTACTGAAAATTGTTGTCAATGATTTCTGGAATTCCAAAATGCTGTAATCGAATCGAACATACCGATCAGGAAACTATATATTAACAATATTATAATATGAAATATATGTTAATAGTATAATATAAACTTTTTTATAACATTAAAAGCTCTACGCAGTAAAAAAAAATATATGTTGCAGGCTGAAGTTTTCTTGTGTGAATGATGATTGGTGTGGCATTAATTTCATTTCATAGAAAACCGAACAATGTTTTGTGCTCATGCACGCCAATCTTTGCGTTTGGTAAAAGAAGAAAAGAACAGAAAAATAGGTTAAGGAGTTGTTTAGTTGGGGGATTCGTACCCCGATTTGAATCATGGTTCGTGGTTTGTTACAGTATTTTTTCTCACAAAAAATACGTAAATAAAAAATAGTTCTAATATCGTGATTCTAATCTATGAACCAAACGTCTTTTAAGAGACTGGGCCTCATGTTATCAAGATGACCATTTTTTTTTTTTTTGGTCCAATGCTAAAAACGGAAAAACCTGGAAGATCACGTAATGAGTACAACTTTTGTTATAGATTATCGTTTCAAAAATTGGCGCCAATTAGGACGTGACTTATTACCGAAACTACAGAGAAACGGCAAATTTGTTCAATGTACACACACATACTTTCGAATTCAAAAATATTCAGAGTACAATTAGACAAACAAATTACAGGGATGCCCAGATGGCACAAACCCTAGCTTGCTAGCTTCTCGTTCTTTCCTTCAGTATGGTCATCTTATTACTACATTTAAGTACATAGAAAATTGCATAATTGAAGGCCTCAGCTAAATATTTTACCAAACAAAGGTACGCACAACATTATATCAATCGGTCACACTCACATGACAGAGCAAGCGTTGGGGTTCTCATCGCTGAAAATCTGAGTAGGAGGATAAGCATACTCCAACTCCAAGTAGTACTTGGACGGCCAGTACTCGCTCTTCTTTACCTCGCTCTTCTTATCTTCCTCTCCTTTGCCTTCTTCGCCTTCCTTCTTTTCGCCTTCTTTCTCTTCCTTCTTCTCCTCTTCCTTCTTCTCTTCTACCTTCTTCTCTTCCGGCACTACTGAAGCCTGCTTTTTGGTTTTCTTGTACACGTCGTCGACTAGCTTGGCGGGATCAACAATGCCCTTTACTATCACTTGATCGTTTCCCAGGTCTGTTTCCACTGAGTCCACACCTGCAGTGACATGCTCATTCTATTAATGTCTTGAACAAATTGTTTAATCTGTGTACATAATTGGATCAAGTCTTCACGTGACACATTTCCAAGAATATCGAAACATTAAAAATGTGTTTTTAGAATATTTTAAATATATAGCATAATTACATAGAAATTATCATAGTAATTAATACTTTCAAAATTTGTTATTTTGTAATATACTCTACATTGTTTGTTATATTTCAACACATAACTAGTAAGAGTATATGCAAATAACTAGTAAGAGTATGTTTACTAGCAAAAAAAAAAAAAGAAAAAGGGGAGAGTATGTTACATGTCTAAATTTTCATTCATGTTATTCTTGGTGGCCCATTTCTTGAAATCTTTTATTGGGCCTGTTAAGTTGATCAGTCATGTCACTAGTGACCTATCAAGACCATTTCATTGGGTCTTGACGAAAGACTAGTTAAACACATTCCCCTAATCATGCATATAAGCATTTTTGACGTGGATATTTGGGTAGAAGACAATAACGAAAAGATTCCAATGCCTATTGATCGTCCAATATTAAAAGACCTTTAGAATTGATATCCAACTTGCACCACTAGGCTGGTTGATTTGATTTTCATACAATATTCAGAAAATTTCCGAAAAATTCTCTCCACTTATTCATAGAAAAGCAAGTTTATCTTTAACCATGCACGCACACTGCAGAAATGAGAGAGAGAGAGAGAGAGAGAGAGAGAGAGATAATGATGCATGTTTTGGTTGATGTGTAACTAATTATGATGGCATTAGTAATTAATAACTAGCACGTGCATGAAGATTAAATTTTATCATTACCCTTATAACTTTATTTTTGTTTTAAGTGATCAACTTAGGAAGAGAGATTTCGTACGAAAAAAAAAAAAAAAAACACGAAATGAATATCCCTTCCCTGCCATAATTCTGTTCTCCCCTCCTACCTACCACTGACCTGGTGAAAGTTACTTTCTCATTTTCCCTTCCATTTTACTCCGCTTTTTCTGCTTCCAAATATTTAACATACCTCGAAATATATTTCACCCCTCTCTAGTCACTACATGGGGACGCCCTATATATATACACATATATATATATATATATATATTATCAAATTACTTGTTTGATAGTTTGGAGTACATGGAGGTCCTTAATTGTTATTTTCACAACCACGTCAAACAATTTCTACCAATATTATCGATAACATGATAAATAATTAATGCTGATATTAATATATACTTGGGAATAAAATTTCGCATGAAAAAATAATTTTGCAATATATACCTTTGATCTTTCTGATTCGCTTCTGCAAAACTTGAGCGCATGCTTCGCAATGCATTCGAACTTTTAATATAACCGTTATAGGAGTGGGAGGCTGCCATTTATAGATAATTAGACTTTTGTTAGATTAATTGGTCAAACAAACACAAAAGAATATCATTTAAGAGGGATCAAAAAAGGGTCCCAAATCAACCAGTGCAGGAATGAAGTCGTTACCGACAAGTTGAAGTAGACAACCATGTGGGTTGTTCTTATTTTTATGGTTAGCGAATTAACCAAGTGAGAAAAGGGAAAATTGTATATATTACGTGGGAGTAGAATATACGTACAATAATTTCATGCGAAATTTATGTTACTTTTCTAAACTTTTGATGCGGCCACAAGTTGGTTAGTAAGAATTTTTTCCATTTTCTTTAAGTTAATTAATATTCAGTACTTCAACAAGTAAACTTATATTTCAACACAAAAGGAACACAAAAAAAAAAAAAAAAAAAAAAAAAAAAAAAAAAAAAAAAAAAAAAAAAACAGTACATTAAGAGATAGAAAAGCTGAATTACTTCTCTTTAACCAGCTTAGCTAGTTTCCACCACACAAAAACAACCCTAACTTTAGTTTAATCCTATGGAGATGAAGATTCTACTCTTTTAATGGACCATTTTAGCCTATTTATTCCTAAAGATTGATCACATAATTACTCTAATCTCCATGATATATATACTTTATAAACAGTCTCTTTCTTCTTTTGTTTCAAACCGTTCTTTTCCATTTACCGCAAGAGTAAAAGTGTGAAACACAAAACACAAGTGGGGCATGTGAAGCCCACATACCCAACTCCCGATGAGAGTCATAAGGAGAGAAAAGGAAAGGTAGTAAATATATATATATATATATATATATATATGCACGACAAAGCACCAAACAAGACGCTACTCTCCCATGCAGAGCTCTTATTTAATATTCATACATATACATATACATACACACATATATACATATAAATATCACACTAAAAGGAATTATATTATGGTATACCCTTTTTCATTGTCGTTTTTGTGCACGAAATAAATAATAATAAAGTGAAGAAAACGTCCAAAAAATTATTTAGGACGTTGGTACCCGTGAACAACCCACAGGTTCACAGGTGGGGTTGCTGTACGGCACACACATACACGCACAAAACAGAGAGAGCCCTAGTGGACTGATGTGGGGTCAAACTTCCCGGTCTTAATGCCATTGTCCATCCTCCTCGTTAAACGTGTCTGTGGAGAGGTTGGCTGGCTGGCTGGCTGGCCTGTGCGTCATTTTGCTAATTTTTGTGTTGTTTCTTTCATGTCAGCATGGAAATAGCAGCACGCAGATTTCACTGTTTTTGAAAGTGAGTCACTCTCCAAAGTCTCAATGGCTCCATAAGATCACGTTTATTATTAATAATTTTAATTTTTAAAATTAAAAAAAATACTATAACAAAACTAAAAATTATAATTTTAAATTAGATAGAATCATTAAAACAAACGCCACCTAAATTAAAAACTCTCAAGTGGGTCAATAATTGAGTACGTACTGCTAGTGTTGGAAAAAAGAGTCGTACTAATTTTATGTTAATTTTTGTTCCAATTAAGATTCAAATTAAACTCTATTTATTAACTATTAATCAAGAAAGTGCTTATATATAATGATAATCTTATTTAAATATTACCTCTTCTTTTTTCTCTTCTTCTTTCTGTTCTTTTTTCTCTTCTTTGGTTTCCTTGTTCTCCTCCGGAGGCTTAGGCAAAGGAGAGATTAACTCTACTTTTCGGCCACTTTTCTTTTGTAATCTCTCGCACACCTTTATGGGGTCTGCTGCCTTGCCTTTCACTATCACTTTGCTAGTTTTGCTATCTGTGGTTACTTCCTCCACACCTGAACCAGATAATTAATTAAATTAACTCATAAGCTATTGCTAATTATTAACTTAATCTTGCGCCGTTTTTTTTGTCTCATTGGTAGGTAACGGAAATGTTTTAAATATTTTTTTCATTCCATAAAAAGTGTTCAACATGATTTACGTCCAAAAATGTAAGGATTTATTATATAAAAGAGGAGAAAAAGGGTTAAAAGTAAAAGGGTTTGTAATGGGATTCCAATCTAGATTTGTATTTTTATATATAAATTCCCACTTTATGTCATGAATATCACTTTAGGTCTTTCACGATTCATTAACAAGCTGTTTCTAAAAATATTCAAAAAAGAAGAAGAAAAAAAAAGAAAGAAAGCTGTTTCTAAAAATAAATAAAAATTCAAGAGATGCAATGAGATTCGAAAAATGATAAAAGAGATTACAAGATGAGATATAGACAAAAATACCTTCGAAACCCTTCAAGGCTCTTGCAACTTTCCTAGCGCAAGCTTCACAATGCATATCAACCTTTAGTACAATCACTGGAGGCTCTTCTTCTTTCTTTTCCTCCTTTTTCTCTTCCTCTTTCTTTTCTTCTTTCCTTTCCTCTTTCTTTTCTTCCTCCTTCTTTTCCTCTTTGTTCTCCTTCGGTTACAACAAAAGCAAGCAATAAGGATTTGAAACATGAAGCCTACAAACAAACACACAAATATACATATATGTATCTGTTCTGATGTGAAATAGGAGGGCGCTAGAGCAGATACGGAAAGAAAGATTAACCTAAAAGCAGGTTTCAGTACTACAACTGCATCTATTGAATAAAATATATAATGGGAGATAGACAGATTATGCATGGAAAAAAAAAATCAATAAAATATGAGAGAACACTTACTTCACCCATATCTGTGATTATTCTCAAGTACTCTCTCTCTCTCTGGTTTGAAAGTTTGATGGGAATTGCAAAGTTTTCAGCAGCCAAAGCAAGATTTACCCAGTCATTCTTATTAGCTAAAAGCTCTTTCTTTCTCTCTCTCTCATATACGAGTGTCTAGTGGTGTGGGGAAGAAAACATTTAAGTAAGGTGGAGATTCTGCAAATATGACGTGGAATATATATAATGCAGACCAGACATTCGGATGACTCAGCTTGCTTGTTCTTTTAAATGAAAAACTAAAAAAAAAAAAAACTCAAGTTACAATTTTATTTGAGTTTAAACTCAAGTTTAAGACTAAAACTTGAGTTCAAGTTTAACCTTCAATTTGAGTTCAGAAACTCAAACTCAAATTAATGAACAGTATTTTTTCTATTATTAAAAATGTTATAACTTTTTCGTTTTAATTCTGATTGAGATGATTTTTTTTCTATGCGTTGACAACGAAAAGACGAATAAAACCCGACCCATATACCATATTAAAATTTTTCATCAGCATTGAGTTTTTATTAACATACTATCTAAATACAAATTCAAGTTTTGACTCACTCAAACACAAACTCAAAAAGATTCTTATCTCAAACCATAACTCAAATGTACACAACCAAACACAAACTCAAGTTACAAGTTAAACTCAAGTTATAACTCAAATTCAACTAAAAAATTATACTCAAATTAAACTCTAAAAGAACAAGCTCTCAGCATCTCACGAAAATGCCCCTCATTTTCTTCTAAACCACTTATATATATGTTATGGCGCAGGCTTATGGTAAACATATGTTTAAAAAAACAAACAAAGAGTAGGACAAAATAAGTTTATTAATTGAGGTCAAATAGGTTAAAAACATTTGAACAACATTTAGGGCTACCGATAATGCATGTTTTTGAAAACTAAATCTAGTTAAAGCCGAATCAAAATAACAAGATTCAAGTTTATAAAAATTTTGTCGATTTAAAACAGACCGCTACTTGTATAGTTCTTTTTTATACCTTACCGTAAAGGTTTTCGAAGATTAACGTGTCAGCCAAAAGTTTAGTCAGTTAATTATTATGGAATAGACAAGCCTCATCCAAACACAGAAAGTTGAGTACTGGTGCCTAAGAATATTACAAAATTAGGCTAAATCTGAGGGATCATAATACGGTAGTTAAATTCTGCTTTGTACTTAATCTGTACCTTGAGGCTTTAGCAGATACAATGTTCTTATTATAAGAAACAAGAATATGTAACAGAATAGAACGTACGCAGTTTCGCTCAATGATGAGATAGTGCGCTCTTTTGAACATTTGATGTAATAGTATTATATGCACAAACTATTAAAATCCTATATTGACATGATTCACTTAATAAGGTGAGGTCAATCCTTTCATTATAAGTTAGTTTTGTTAGGTTGAGTTAGACTCAATATTAATTGATCTTTGTAAAATGGTATCAGAGCAGACCCAGTTTTGTAATTTTAGGTCTCCTAATATTTACTTATTTGCAGTGGTTTGGCATAGTTCACGCTGTGCGTGAGGGGGTGTATTAGAATCTTATATTGGCTTGAGATATTAACATGATCCACTTAATAAGGTGAGGACAATCATCTCTTAACAAATCAATTTTGTTAAATTGAGTTAGGCATAATATCTTTTAATTTCTGTAAAACTAACCAATTGGGTATGAGCCAATCCAAAAAGTTCTTGATAAGGTTCTATTCTATGCTTTCCTACTAAAAAACAAAAGATTCTCCTTTCTTAAAACTCTACAGAAAAGTGCAGGTAAGACCCCATCATTAAATTTTGTATTTGGATCGTCTTCCGAGCGAATGTACCTATGATCTTAACTCCGATAAAATAAAATAAAAAGTAAACCGAATTAAAAAAAAAAATCTCCAATCAAAATTAATTTGATGACCCCAAAAAAGTCTATTTTGTGTTTAAAAATAATATTTGACCCATTAATAGTTTTTCTCCTCGTCTATTTGATTTGAACTTGATTCTTCAACTTTAATTCAAGCTTTGATATTATAACTTAGAAAGTGTTGCGTTGCGCAAGAAATTAAATAGGAAAAAAGACCACCCTATTTTTTATTGGTTGGAAATTTGTAAGACATATATACGTGTAACGTGGCGAATAGCATTACCAACCATGTTGTTCGCGAGACTGATTTTTTTTAATGAAATTAAAATACATATCACAGTATATTGTGCTCCAAGAATGAAGTTCAATTTCTACAAATATCTGTTATTTATATTGGCGATTTTTATATTCTTAAACTAAATCGAGTTTCTCATAACTTTCTCCTCATTTTCCATGATCAATTTTATCTGGTCTTGATGGACTACTACAAAGTTTCTTTCCTGAATCCATCCAGAAACGTCCCATTTTTTTTTTCTGCTGTAGATTCTAATATTTACGTGTGTTTAGTTCATAGATTCATAATTATAATTTAAAACTATTCTCAATTTATGTGTGTTTTTTATTAGAGAAAATACTGTAGTGAACCACGAACTATGATTCGAATCATCGTACGAATCCACTAACCAAACGCACAGTCATGTGAACAGTAGTTCTCAATTTTTCTCTTCTCTGCAATATTATATAGAAGAGAATGATGTGAAAGTTGAAACTCTTATGGGGATGTAGAATTTTTGTAACGGGAAAGACAAAAAACAGTTGTGTGGAGCTGATATATATGCAAGTCACCGGGCAATTTACATGAATATGATACATGCATCATGTGAATAATACACGACGGAGCCCACGGTTCCGGATTCCAAGTCTCTCGAGCACGTAAACCCAATTTCAATCAGCATCTTGAAAGTGATCAAAAGGTTGACAACAGTGGGACCGATCAGATGGATATAACCACTCACTGACTGACACGTGTTACGATAAGTGTTGTCGTCGTCGTCTTTAGTCGCCAATGAAATCAAAGTGTTGTGAGAATGAAAAAAGGGGCCAAAAAGAAAAAAAGAAAAGAAAGTGGCCAAAAGGAAAAAAAAAAAAAGGCATTGTATCAGAAGTGATATGTCGTGCTTCACGTAAAAAAGTTGACATCCAATAATAATGAAGAATGATAATAGGGAGGGATGGGGAATTCGACTTTCCCTTTTAAATAAAAAGTAAGAATTTTATCTTATGGTTTGATCAGTCGACTAAAGGAGAACAACATGTGAAGCTGGGTAGATTCCAAGGTCAAAATCCCTACTTACCATCTCACCTAATTTCACGTCGGTTTTTTTAACCGACGTTCAAAGTCTACAATGTCAGTTTGGCTTCACGAGCTGCGGTGAGATTAATCGTCTAACAGTTAAAAGAAATTAGTAAAGTCACGTTCATTTCACCGATTCGAGTTTAAAATTCGAGTTTTGCTACAGTAAAAAGCTCTCTGAAACAGTCACATCAAACTTTTTTTGTTGTAATCTTGAATCAGTAAAGTAAACGAGTCCTAAATTAACAACCCAACAGAATGCTAGTTGCACTAAAGTTCTACCTACGACTAGTGAGCGGAACTTTCTGTTACTCAATTTGTGTACATTGACATATGATTAAATAAAAACCATAACTATGTCACTTCATTATATTGTATTGGTATGTGATGACAATAGTGTGTGAAAATAACTATTTAAGCATATGAGGTAATTAAAGAGTACGCAAGAAAACAAGAAAAAAAAAAGGATAGAAGACAATCAGAAGGGTGCTGAAAATTCTATACTTTCTTTGGATCAAAAGGTGATTCTGAAATCTGATTCAGAATCCTGAAAGCAAAAGCCGTGATAATTCCCCAAGACACCACCGCAGAATTCGAAAGTGGTCCTGCCAAGACAATCAGGGAGTCCCTGCCACCCCACCAATATAAATATATATATATATATATGTGTGTGTGTGTGTGTATTATTTCTTAATTTTTTGTTGACTCTTGGGCCAGCGGTTGTAGCGAGGCTGAAGATGACTATTCAGTAGCCGAAATAACTTACTCCATCTACCCAAACTAGATTTTCAGAATTGAGATTGGGACCTCAAACCATGGCCTAACAAAGCTCGCCATTTGCCCAATTCTACAGATTTTTGCTTTTTATCTGTGGTTTCTTCAGGGTTTTAGTTGGACTTTGTGCTGATTTTCTTCCCTATTTCTTTCTAGATGGAGAAAAAGAATAGTTGGTTTCTAATCTATTTATTGGCGCTAAGACAAATTTTTTTTTTTTTTTGGGATATTATAGTTTGGGAAATCTATTTATGGTAGGATTGCATTTTTTTCTGTTGTGAAAAATGTTGCTTTTAATGGTTGGAGCGGTTTTTTAACGGACATATCTATATAAATCTGTATTAAAAATTTATAAGTGCGCATAAGACACTACATTCACACTTAATTTAACAGTTAAAAAAAAGTTCTTATCCATGGAATAAAATAACCAACCTATATTTTGACATGTTAATCTTTTTGATATGGTTCATCTCTTCATTAATATGAGATGGTTGCATGTTTGTTGTTTCAGTTGGGATGTATTTTCGTACAATTGGATGTGGCAATCTTGTGGCAAAATGAGCAAAAAAAAATTTTAAAAATTTTTATATTTCAATTTTACTAATTTTTTTTTTTTTTTTTAATTGAGACAATTTGCTCTTGCGTTAAAAGGGAGCGGGTGAAACTTCTCGTCCGTGTCTAACCCATGAATAGGGATGACCATGTACGGCCATAGAGACATAGGAACAACGTAGTTCACTATCTAATAAAAAACTATCTGGGCCCATTTCTTAAGCCCACAATATCTAGGCCCACTTTTAAGAGATGGGCAATGTTGCCATCTTATGAACTGTTTCGTTGCCAAAGTAGGCTAGCACATATTTGTCGTTTAAATTTGAAACATATGGAAAGAAGAAACATGAGATTAATAATCAAATATATCTCTTCTCCAAGTTGGCAAGTAGTGTGTTTTTTTTTATAATGTTACTCTTAAATTATAACATATGTTTTCTAGGAAAATGTTAATCATAAAAAAAAGGGGAAATATATATGAATGCCCATCTAGTAGAAAAAAGCCTAAAGATTCATATCTTTTTTAAAACACTAAGATTTTCGCCTCACTTATCTTTTTATATATTACTTAAAGAGACAAAATTATAAGAGAAACAAATGAAATTAGGGA